TAATATATATATATATATATATATATATATAGATCAATTTCCAATCAATTGCAAAAATAATCCAAGTGTTAAACATTGTAATATTTATAATTAATATCAATAATGATTAATTCATCTTGAAGTTTGCTTTTTTTTTTTTGTCATCATTAAACGATTGCCAAGGGAGTCAATATTCCCTGCTTATTATTAATAAGCCGCATTTCATTCAACTGAGAATCCGTTTTCCCGACTTGAATGACGAAACGAGCTATTTCCACGCTCGAGCCGTAATATCGTTGACGTAATGATCGGATGTAAAAGTGGATAAAGATATCCCATGCAGAGATAACAAGCGTTGAGATCGAGCCATTTTTCCGGAACTCGAGTGAAAAACGTGGCGAGAAACGTGGTTCCATTGGTTGGAGATAAAAAAAGGAACTTTGCAGCATGTATGTATGTATAAGATGCCTCGCTCTGTTATCAAAAATATAACGATGCAGTCACACGCAAAAATCCGCTTGCCAAATAACGAATCCAAATTGAAACTAACCATCTTATTGAGAAAATTATACACAAGATTCGCGATTTTATATTCTTCCATTCATACTTCTCGAGATACTTGTAAAAAAAAAAAAGAAAACTTGTAAATTTGATAAAATTCGATTTACATTAACTCATGTATATTTTGTTTTGTATCAAACTTAACATTTTTACAACCAGAAAAATATTGAAATTAAGATTAAAAATATCGATTATCGAAATTATGGTTAAATCAACATTGACAAGCCGATGATGAAAATTGCTCAGAAAGGCTCCAGAAACTTTCCATTTTCCATCTTAATTTAAAGGGACACACCCTAAAAGCTAGATCTAAACCGAATACCAAGCGATCGGTGATTTTAATAATTATAGTCTACGGTGGTGTATCGTTCGTCAGAATTGGATCCCTGCGGCGCTTTATTTCGGCTGCAGCCGAGGGTGAAACACATTTTCAAAGATATATTGAGAGGGTGACTCGTTTTTACGGGGGTGATCGATATAACACATGCGCCCTACGGTGTACAGATTCCTGGCTGAGACCTACGTTCAACAGCTTTTCAACTTGTATACAAACCCAGTGCTCTCCGCAGTTTCCTCCTGTCGTCGCCGTTCTCCTCTCCCGTGATAATAAATCGCCCGTGTTATCGCATTCGAGCAGATCGAGCTTCATTGATCGTGAAAGATCGTTCGATTCCGTGATTATCGCAACGTGGTACATGGTGATTATTCGATTATAATTCGAAGCCATTATATACGCGCAATTAAAATCGTTCCATTGAATTCTTCCGAATATCGACACGGTAAGAAGCGTGATGTGTATTAATATCCATAGCTATTGTATTGTTTGAAGTAAGTGCGCGATGGTTTTGTTCACGTTTGAGTTGGAATCGATTGCTTTCTTAAAGGAAAATTAATCAAGAAGATAGATCGATTATTAATCTCTTCTAAGAGACAACACGAGATCTTTCTTTCGACAATGAAGTGATACACACATCGATATCTGTATTATGTAAAATAACGTGAAAACAAATATCTGTCTTTTGGCAATGAATGGAACATTATGATACACCGAAGAAATGGAACGATTTCGTTTCTAATTAAATTCCAACGTAAACGTATTCTTTTATTATCCTATTAAGAAAGAGGTAGAAAATTTACTGTTTGAAATATTCCTGCACTTTCAACGAAAAATAACAATATTCGACGCATTCGGAGTTCTATTTAGAAATAGAAGAATTAGAATTAAAATATGTTTGAAAATGAATAAGAAAAAAGATCCATCGGAGCAAAGGTCAGTTACATACGCAGAATCTATCCGTTCGACATCTGATCATCGGTATTACTTAATCGTCTCCTCGTTTCCTGTTCCTTGCTAATTACGCTAACACGTCTATCGTCGTAATCTCTATTTATAGTCATGAAATAACAACGTACCTCCACAGCCTGGTGTCGGCCTTCCGCCGTTCGTAACGTTTCAACGTTAGAGAGGTGAGGAGAGGATCCACGAGGATAGGATGAAAATCGCCGATCGCGTTTCATCAGATTTCTTGTGTATCGATGTGATCTCTTCTCGCGGAATCTCAATGTCGTCTCGCCGTGTAAGATAACACTGGTTGAAAATTTATTGAAGAGGTTGCTCTCTCTCTCTCTCTCTCTCTCGTCGTGGATCACGTGCACGAGCGTGAAATTGAATTCAAACAATGGAGAAATACGTAGTCCTTGCCCTTGCTTAAATGGAAAACAAACGGATTGGCCCGATTAGGTTATCGAACGAGTTATATTGTTCTCTGTAAATTGACTCTGTGTGAGTCGTGAAACATATTACGAACACGCCAATATACGTGAACAGGGTCCTTGATAAATCATGTTTTTATTAGTTTTGCTAATATTGCCTTCTCATACACGTTATAAATCCATTTGAATGTTCTCTCTTCTTACCTTTTTTTTTTCTTTTTTTTTCGTCGAATAGAAAATCGTTCGATCCTTTATAGTATGTGTGTTAATCGTTTACTTATTTCTATTATCGATTTTTATTACAGATTATGGACAATAAATATGTATGATATAATATTTATAATATAAAACAATAGATTTGGGTTATTAAAAATAACTTATAACTTCGATTGGCAATCAAACGAGATATCGAAAGGTGTAATTTTTCAAAAGAAATATAGTTTGATCGACTATACTCTCTCTTATGGAACGTAGAAATTCAAATAAGAGATGTATTCGTTCTATTATACCTTCGAATCCTTTATTCGCAATAATGCCACGAGGAGGAGTGCACAATACCGTCCACGTAGCAAAGAGACCGATATCGAAGAGGTTCCAAACTATTTCCAATAGTCGATTCTGTCCTATTTCATCGTCTATATCGATTAGCTCGATTGAATAATACTTGCTAGTCGAGATCGGAAAAAGATTATTTCCAAGATACAAAACTCATTGTCAATTAACGAATTCTCATTCAAAATTTATTAACCAAAGTAGGACAGATTTTATTCCACATTAAAACGTAATTTGCGTAATGATATGTAATCTGCATCGATTTAACAACGCGAAACAACATTATTCGATCGCTAATTATCATTTAAATGTCAATTTGTAGAGGCCGCCTACTGGAATTATGCTAAATCGATGAGCTCGCGTTACTTGACCTCAAAACGTCGCGTCGTCGACGTGTCTACCTGGACACGTATAATAGCGTGAAATCCAGATACATAAAAGATACTTTGTC